TATATCTTTATGATATTGAAGAAGCAAACACCACAAACACCTTTTAACGGTGTACTAACAAAACCACAATTATGAACCTATTCACTTTAAACGAGACCGTTAAAATACGAGTTACGACTGTTAGTGACATTATCCGAAACTCTCCTTCAACATATAGACACCGCATATTAACGTACACCGATCCGTCACACTTCTTCAATGAACTTTGACCCTTATAACTTTGGAGTAAAGATGGTAATGTAATAAATAATGTTGACAGTTTTTGACTACGTTGATGCGCGGTTTTATACAAGGCTTTATGGTATCGTTAAGTAGAAACAGCTCGTTTACACAGTGGCCCATATCGTCTCTCCTTATGACTCGTTAATATCTTTTTATCACATATAAGTGTATAAAAAGGTATATGGCACTTATGTACTTTATTTTTTTTTTGGAAATACAATGGCGCACTGCATTGTTTATAATTAACCCAGATCCACCACGGCTCAGACTACTTCTGTTTGAAAGATATCATAGACATGGTTCACTGTGCTAAAGCTCATTAAATTCTGCCCCAGGGTTCTCTACATATAAACACGTTTTAAACATGTTGAGCAAACCTTCAACAATTGTCTGTTGACAGTCAAGGTGTTAAACAACAATGGCAGAATTACAATTCTATTCAAAAGCACAAAAGTGCTAATAGGTAACATTGTAGGTACACATAAGAGAGTTTAATTTAAATCAATGAATACAAACATCTGTGAACGTAAGAAGCGAGTGAACTAGTAGCGTCCCTTAGGGGATTGCTAGTAGGGTTGTCACATCTTATTGAAAGTGTTATAGGTAAAAAATAAGTCCTCCTTTATACCCGACTTTAGGAAGGGTTTTTTTTAAGGGGGGAATATCATCGAATGACTGCTCCCGTCTGGGTGAGAAGGGAGGGAGTGTCTGTGTCAACCACCCCGTTCCGTCTCTTGCACGTCGAGCCGGAGCCCCGGTTACCCGTTAGGTTCTCCGCGACAGTATATATCGTATATATTGCCTTGTTAACCGAGTAGTCGTAAGTACGACTGCCGGGCAAGGGGTCTCTGGTTCGATTCCCGTGTCGGACAAAATATTAATGGGTTTTTTGTTAAATCTCAGTAGTAGCACGGAGTCTGAAACTGTGTCCGGTATATGGAAATAGGGTCACCCCCTATTACATGGGACTCATAACATAAACAGTGAAAAGTGGGTGTTACATTGTACAGTGGCATTAAGTGCCGTAATGTTCTGCACCTCTGCCTACCCCTTCGGCGATAAAAGGCGTGATGTTATTATATCCTGTGTATTGTTTATTTATTACAACTTAACTTTTGGAATCTATTACAATTAAAAGCTAATATTTGTTAAATATACCACAAACAACAAATACATAAAAGACCTATATAGCATTCCTTTGGCTATAATTCAAATGAAATGTTATATATTTTATAAAATTCAAATTAAATTAAATTAAATGTTTGATGAAGTAACAAAATAAATATAGTCAGTTTATATGTAAAATAGTAATAGCTTAAATGCAATTTACCTCGTTCATAATTTTTTGCCAAATCAACTAGCACGCTAACTACTAGGTTAAAAAGCCAATAAAAAACATTTAGCCATCAATATTTCATCAAAACGCTCGTACACCTTTAACAAGCTTTTTCATACAAAAAAAAATCGGAACGTAATCAAATACTGCCAACCCTACCGTACTCGCGATGAAAGGGTATAAAATTCGATCGTTTGTTGCATTTTCAATAGTATTGCTGTACCCTGCCTCGGCGGTTGAACGGTTACAAGTGTGATTTTTAATCCAGAGGTTTGATTTCTGAGTTCAGTAAATTGTTACGGGACTTTTCGGTTCCTTAACCCGTCGAGCGTCCGCGTTTATTATGCATTTCCTTATCCTTATGCATGCAAGAAAACGTATTTATTTGGCAATGGCACACGAAAACAAGGATCATTACAATAGAAATAAAACAAATGCAGTCAAAATAAAAACAAAACATTAATAATAGATTTTATACTAAAAGAGAAAGCAGCATGGGGCATTTTTTCTTATGATCCACCGGGTGCTCATAAGGACGCTCGAGGTCTGTCTCATGTCTTTAACTTTCCAGCATAGCTGAAACTTTTGCAAAAGACTGAATAAATCCTCATTTTGAAGTTCTGTCGGTTCATTTGAAAATTATACATTACATTATACTAACGCGCTGATATTCGTCAGCAACATACATATATTAATTGGGTAGTTTCCTGGGTCAAAAACAAATTATTTTGATTTTTCAGTCCACTTAAATATTGAAAAAAAGGTACACTTTCATTCATTGATTTGCCGATATACTTAATTTTCGATTTATTTTAGCATTTTTTTATATATAAGTGTACTATTTGACGCGAAAATATGATGACGTCATAAGATGGTATATCGTACAAAATCATAGAACACTATCGTTTTTGACGTTTCGATAAAAGTATTGAGTTTGACTAGTTGTTAACTACCGTAATCCTACTCACGTAATTATTTCACGAGAAACCCGACTAGTTTCAAGCCATGCTAGAAGCTATACATGAGCAGCATTCCGACGCGACGACTGTCGCGCTGCAGTAGCGCTTTATAACATAAATGACTATATTAAGCTGAACCGATCCGAGCGTACGGCGCATCGCGTTCCGCGCGCACCTCAAAGAGCCATCAAACCACCACAGATGGGGCCTAACAGGGCCGATGCCGATTCGGAGTCGCGGAGAACCTAACGGGTAACCGGGCTCCGGCTCGACGTGCAAGAGAAGGAACGGAGTGGTTGACACTCCCTCCCGCCTCACCCAGGCGGGAGCAGTCATTCGATGATTTCCCCCTTAAAAAAAACTGAACCGATGGGTTTTTGTTCTCAACAAATACATTTAAGATATATTCTCATTTCCATCCCAAACAAAAAGAAATAAACATTCTCATGATTCACTAAATGAAATCAAAGTAGCTATAGATATACCATAAGTAGGTTTTACTACAATATGATAACTCTTATCATGAATCAAAGACATTTACTACGTGTTTGTTTAGATCTGTATGAATATTATCTCTACAACTTTATATTGTCCTTCTGTATATCATTTCATCTCAAATCCATGATAACATACGCGTCTTATCGTCATAAAAGACAGTGTTGATCTTGTGAATGTTACTGTGAATGATAGTGATAAAGTAATGTAATGCCTAATCATTTCATTTGAATTAATCAACTTTGAGAAATACATATTGTGTTCTAAATCGAGATATATGCATATATGATGTATCCAAAACTTTGTTATGGGGTTAAGCCTTTTTTATGTTTCTAAAGGAAGATCATAATTTTAAGCGTATGAGAGCCATGCACGAATGGACCGGCTCGACCGGAGTGATACCACGGCCTCATAGAAAACCGACGTGAAGCAACGCTTGCGTTGTGTTTCGTCGTGTGAGTGAGGATACCGGAGGCCCAATTTCCCTCCCCTTCTCCAATCTCCCCAATTCCTGAATCCCCAACGATCCTCAAACTCCTAATCCCCAAAAGGCCGGTAACGCACTTGTAACGCCTCTGGTGTTCCAGGTGTCCATGGGCGACGCCGATTGATTACCATCAGGTGATCCGCCTGCTCGTTTACTGCCTTATGCCATAAAAAAAGAAATGAAATGAAAGAGTACCTACACCTACTTTTTATTTTATTTATTTTTTGTTTTTTAATGTTATTTTGTTATTATTTTGTGTTTTATTCGGTGGTCCATGTCCGGTGGCGAATAAATTATTTTTCTTTTCTTTCTTTCTTTCTTTCTACACATATGAGAGAATACCGGTTCCTAAACACCAGGCTAATTTTATCGACCATTCGATTTTGATACTTAAAATGACAAATGCACCTAAAGAACAAACCCGAAACTTCATATTCGTAAGACATATTTTTAACTACAGGAACAAAGAGGCGTTAATTAGGCTTTAGACCACATTTCCAATTGCAAATTGCAGTTTGAACGCAGTTGACACGACTGCAATAGAACTGCAATCGGACTGCTCCTTTGGTTTGCAACCGTTTGATCATGACTGCAATCAGTCTGCACGTTTGGTTTGCAGTTCAATTGCAGTCGGGACACGACTGCATTCAAACTGCACCCGAACTTCAGTTTTCTAGAGCCTAACTGCTGAAATTAACAACCCACCCTAATCGAAAATTCCTGGATCGGTCTTGGTTTTTATCATATACTCAATAGTCAATCGAACTAATGTCAAAAATCCATCTTAATCCAATGATTTAAGATTGACATCAGTTATCGATTTTGGCCTTTAAGTGTAATACATCGAATAGGGAGACATATCTAAATGTACTCACAGTCCACCATATCTCTGTCCTTGATACAATTTCGGCCACTTGAGATTATTAACATGTTGTTTTCATCGACTAACTTGAGCTGTAAATAGTTTTTTCCGTTAACAGAACGTCACTCGGTTAATATTTGGTTTAGCTGTTATCTTTCATTATCAATTTGATAGTGCAGTATAGTACAGTCGTGAACTAAAGGGATATCTAATAAGTGTTGAAATTAATAGTACCAGACAGTAAAATCATGATTTAATTTGTTTTTAAAAATAAGTTAACATGCTACACAGATACTTACTATGTCATGAAGTAGAATAGTTAACTCTGTGAAAGATAAAACTACCATTTTACAAATCATAAAGTATGATGGAACACCATTAAATCTGTACTTCATTTATTTAAAAACGTTTTCATAAATCCAAAACGTTTCTTTCTTATTCCGAGGGGATTCAGTAAAAGGTTTTTTGGGTGTATATCCCTACGAAATTATTTGAATGTGATATAATGCTAGATGAATGAAATCACTGAGCGAACACTTTTGACACCGGTAGTACCGAGCGAACGCTTTTACCTTATCTTCGTAAAGCCTGGCAGTCCGCAACACCATTGTGTTCACGCCGTACAAAAGTGACAAAAACATGAAATCCATATACATTGTCGGCATAATCATACTTATGGCAGAAACAGAGTGTTTTATTCAAGACACCACGAGCATTAAAATTTTAGAGGAACAAAGGACACTCTTAAGAAAATTGCAAAATTTCCAAGATCCGAAAGATGAGAAACCTTTGACGTGGAACGAGATGCTCGCAGACGTATTAGTGAACAGAATAAAGATATTATCATTCAACAAAGTGAACGAAAACGAAATAATCGAAGATAGTAAGCCATCAAAGGCGAAAAACTTTATAAGGTCGTACTTCAGTGAGGTGATGTTGTTATTCAAGAATTGTATTTACGATAAATTCGTGACGAAATACGAAGAACCAGATTATAAGGAGGAAGATTTAGGAACTGATGCACCTGAAGTTTTTATTACTGATGATATTGACAGTTTAAATGATGATGTGGAACTCATAGAACCGAAGTATCATGGGAAACAAATTGTGGTGGAACCAGAAGGAGCTGAAGACAAGGCTATAGTTGGCTGTCCTGAAGGAACTGAGAAGGATCATAAAGGGAGCTGTGTGAAGGCACATTCTCGGCTGCTCATAGCAGTGCCCAGTCAATGCCCGATGGGCTACAGACGAGATAGATTAGGATTTTGTAGAGCTGTGTTCTCCTTTTAGCTGAAAATTGTTAACGTCATTTGTGGCAGTGAAAAATATGTGATACTCATTTAATATTAATCTTAAATTATTTAGTGAAAGTAAGTGATTAGTGTTAAACAAATATGGTGACGAATGTGCTACCGTTTGCGTCATTAAAATTTATCTTTTTCAAACAAACAAGCGAAGTGTTTACACCGTCAATCTTGCTTAAAAATGTGAAATATTTTTGATATGAAACTTCCTGAATAATAGAGATAAAATATACAGGTTTGAATTTAATTTTTAGTAACGTATTTAAAATTATAAATATTTTGATATTAAATTATTCATTTACCGTTATATCTTTTAATTTTATTTGAAATACAGTTGAGCTTCTTTTATAACATATATAATTCGTATAAAAAGAGTATCGATGGAGTTTCTTGGATGTTTTTTTTTCATATAAAAGTATATTTTGTAATGTAACGAGTACCTAGTTTGACTGATAGACCATTTTAATCTCAAAAATCAAAATCGCATCACAACAATTCTCATCGTAATTTTTTGCGTTGAGAATTCGCATCGCAGTTTTGTGTACGAGCACTAAGTTTGCATTTGACATCATAATTAACACACGAATGTTTACTATTGTTTTAGGGCCAAATTAATAATCAACCTCTGTCTGACACCATACAATTAAAGTTAAAAATCGATCGATAGAGATAGGTTTATTAATTTCGGCAGTTACTGAACCTAATAACTCTTTACAAATATTGTTTTCCTAATAGGTAGTCACATCAACTTCATTTAAACTGTCAAACACCAAGCGGTCACCGGTGACCGCGACCTATTGTTCTTTAATTGTGTCTATAAAACCGGTACTCGACGAGTTAACTAAAAATCGCGGGTTATTCACGTGAAAATACTGAGAAAAGTTTAGTTACTTAGTTTCGAAGCACAGAGGGGTTCGGTCGCGACGATGTCGCGCAGCCTAACGCTCATCATGAGGAAGAACCATCTGTGGTTCGAAACTAGTAGAGCTTTTCTCAATATTTTCACGTGACTAACCCGCGATTTTTAGTTAACTTAGTATGTGTCACAGTAGTTATTATAAAAACTCTATTAAACCTCACATAGGTACAATAACAAAACAAAATACAAACAAAAGACTACCTCAAATAAAAGTCAAGATTATCGAAATTACTAAAGAATGGCAACGAGATACGATCGTTCACCAAACAAGTCTTTTAAATCGGACAGACAATCGGGCGAGTCAATTTCACGGTATGGCGAGTCTCAAAAGGAGGCCGGATATAGGGCCCTACCTGGTTTCCATCGTTCAAAGAACACTCGATAGCCACAAATTGACTGCTGCCTGAACAGGGCTGTGCACTGTTTACCGATACTTGTTTAACGGAAAATATTTGATTTTTACAATTTTAGTCGGGATTTGGAGTTAATATTGAAGGGTTATACGTAAAACGTAATTTCTTTTTTTTATAGCATAAACCGGTAAACGAGCAGACGGATCACCTGATGGTAAGCAATCGGCGCCGCCCATGGACACTCGAAACACCAAGGCGTTACAAGTGCGTTACCGGCCTTTTGGGAATTTGGAAATTGAAGATTGTGGAGGATTCAGGGATTCGGGGGACGGGGACTAGGTAATTGGGCCTCCAGTAACCTCACTCACACGACGAAACACAACGCAAGCGTTGTTTCACGTCGGTTTTCTGTGAGACCGTGGTATCACTCCGGTCGAGCCGGCCCATGCGTGCCGAAGCATGACTCTCCCACACTTAAAATTTCTGTCGTGATTTTCCTCAAAATCACGCTTTCTGATCTCCGAAGTGGTAGGCAGATATGCTTAAACTTACATAGTATCATTCACTTTTCTTCGGTGATGTTATGGGTCAAATGTAAGGCAGTATATTATTCGGTGGTCCATGTCGGTGGCGAATAAATTATTTTTCTTTCTTTCTTTCTTTTCTTTCAGTAACCACACAGGCACAATTTTATTTCTGACCACAATTTTTGGAAAACTGCAAAAAGGTCAAATAATTAATATAACATCACGCCTTTTATCCCAGAAGTGGTAAGCAGAGGTACCCTATACGGCACTTAATGCCACCGTATAATGTAACACCCACTTTTCACTATTTATGTTTTGAGTCCCATGTAATAGGGGGTGACCCTATTGCCATATACCGGGCACAAATCCAGACTCCGTGCTACTACTGAAATTAAAAAAAAACCCAATATTTCTTAGCCCAACCTGGGAATCGAACCCATGACCCCTTGCCCGACCCGCTAGCAGGCAGTCAAATAATTGTCAACAAATGCTTAAATAATTTGCACCGGAAAATCGAACCTGGGACTTCATACTCGATAGTCGTATTTGGTCACACTACAACCATTTTGGGTACCTCATGTTAAATCGTTGTTTCATAGTTTTAAACAGATGCTTTTCATTATTAATCGAGATTCGATATTAGGAGGGCATCCATTTAATTTATTGTCTCTTAATTGGTTCGGGGTATTACCGCCAGATGGCGTGCGTACGAATTACAAAATTGTCCCCTTGCTACCTGGGCACAGGGTCACAATTTGTTTAACGTGGCTAAAGAAATGTGTAGTAAACCCATAGACAATTATTGTATTGCAATAAATTGTTTAACTAATTAGGCTGTTTATGTTTTACACATATTCATAACATAACAACATCACGCCTTGTCCCCGAAGAGGTAGGCAGGGGTGCACATTACGGCACTTTTGCCACTGTACAATGTTACACCCACTTTTCAATATTTATGTTATGAGTCCTATGTAATAGGTGGTGAACCTATTGCCATATACCGGGCACAATTCCAGACTTCGTGCTACCACTGAGATTTTTTTTAAACCTAGTAGTACTTTGGTTAGACATATTCATATAATGTAATAATGCATATCCGTCATAATGTGGACGCACTAGAACGGTAATTAACTAATTAACGCCCAGCAATGAGATGTCAAGTCAAGTAGGTACCTACCTATTACTTAATTGTAACAAGTAATAATTAACTTAATAGGTTTCGAAAAACTTATAAGCAGTTATAAGTTAAAGTCAAAATCATTTATTTCAATTTGACCAGAAAGGCACTTTCACGTCAACAAAAAATTAAAAGTGAAGCTATTTGCTCATTCCAAGGTGTAGATTCCTATGGAGAAGAACGAGCAAGAAACTCCATAGGTTACTCTTTTTCAATTAGATTCACAATACAATTCTCTAGTTTCATAGTTTTGGTTGTTAGATTACTATTGTCATTTAATTATTAATAGTACTTTAATACTAGTTCAGATTAATACTGGGTTCAGATTAATATTGTACTAAATGTGGATCTCTTTTTAGTTTTTTACAGCAAAGCTTCATAATAAACCATTTAATCACCTGCGAAAATGGTCGTAAGTTAAAAAACAACACAAATTCACGCAGTAAAATTGATTTCGCGGAATTCCCTAGACTTTATGCATATCGGGGAGAAACGGGGAAAGTTGCAGTAACAAATTGCAGACATCAGTCGTATGTCGCGTTCAGTAATTAGTCAAAACTACTAGAACTTTTAATGAGAGCAAGCGAGGAGAGTGGGGCGTAAAGTTCCCGTTTATCGCGACTTTTTGTTCAAGAGGTACGCGGGAAAGTTAATGTTAGGAAATTGTGGATGACGTGTGTTTTATGTTGTTTATGAGTTTTGACTTGAATGGTTCGGTGGTGTTCAATGATTATGCCTACGTCAAGAATTGCTTAAGACTTTAACTGCCAATAAAAAACTGTTGAAGGTAAATCCTCCGCTAACGCCGGTCACCGGTGAACCCCATGGCGTTTAACGTGTTAAATTTTGAGATTGGTACAACTAGAGTTTCTTCAAGTCCTGATTGAGTAAATTGTTGATAGACAGGCTTGCGAGGCTCCATGGACATGCACCAAGCAAAACAGTGGCTAAACACCATCTAATGAAGGTTACAAAAATGAGAAATGTGAGTGCACCTGTATTTAGACTTCACAAAATTCGAAGACAGGCCTTCGTATTTCAAAAACGATTTACATAAAACATAATACATAATAATTTGTACTTCAAGTCCCTACATAAACACAATATTACTACAAGCTACTAATTCCCAATAATCTTCAATCATTCAATTAACAGAACGTTAACTCCGAAACAATTAGATGTCCCGCAATCCGAACTGAACTTTAGTTTTCCAGCAACACGCGAGATGGCGACACTGTGTCGGTATTAACTCCGGTGTCGATCCACAGAGTACAGCACTATGACACTGTATCTTGTGTGTCACCATTCGGGATTCGGGCAAAGTTACGCGTTGCAAACTTAGCGAAACGCAGGTGCTAATTACGACTTTACTGTCGCCAATGACCAGTGATCCTTGAACCACCCCCCTCCTCCACAAGGCCTCAGTATAAACGCAACTGAGAACAACAACCGCCATGTTTAGCTAATCAGGGGTCTAAATAAACTGGCGGATGTGATCCCTGGTAATGTTATAGAGCATGTATAAATTAACAAGAGTTTAGTATTAGTGCTTGTTGTTTGTTGAATTCTAGATAGGATACGCTTATGGGTAATCTAGTCTAGAATTATAGGGTCATTACACTTTACTGCTGAAGGTATTTTGACTATTAAAACGTTCATTAGGTACCTACTACATAGTTTAAAACTTATACTAGTCTTATGGATAGAATACTTTATTGAAACATTGAATAATCGTATGTTGTATAACAGAAATTACTTCCAAATATTCCTATATGCTTTTTGGTGCCTTTCGTTAAACCTTTTTCACTTTCAAATACCTTCGTAAGAATATACCTACGTATAAAACCCGTACATAGTGTAGCTCACCCTTTAACTGCGCTGTTACTGTGTACTCGGAGTAAATCGACTTGGAAACAATTCATAGCCAGCCGACCAGCACTTTACGACTCTGCCCTAGGATTCGTGACGTCATCGGTAGTGGCTTAGGGTTTAGACTCACTTGACTGT